CATTATTAGGTATATATCCTAAAGAAGTGAGAGCCAGGACAAGAACAGATACATGCAAATCCATGTTCATCATAGCACTATTTACAATAGCCAAAAAACAGAAACAACCTAGGTGTCCATCAACTGAGGAATGGATAACCAAACTATGGGACATACACACAATGGAATACTATGAAACCCTAAAGAATAACCTAGAATCGCCAAAACACCGCATAACGTGGATGAACTTGTAGGACATTATGTTGAGTGAAATAAGTCAATCACAGAAGGACAAATATTGTATTAGTCCGTTATTGTAAAAAGTCAAGGAAAGGTTTATATATGGAAGGAAATGTTCTTTGTTGGTTACTAGGGGTAGGAGGGGAGGGAAGGGTACACAGTTAGGTGGAGATAAATATTGATTTGAGTGAAAAGAAGGGCAATGTATCAAATGTGAGTGATCAACACGGTGGCACTGAGGCAAAGCAAGACAGACAGAGGTGCATGGGAGGTACAGACAACAAAGATGAACCCTTTTGCCCATACAGTGCTGCGTTGTCAGTGAAGGCAAACATGGATATACGGGTAGATAGATGGGTGGACAGGCTGAACTATTAGGTATGTCTATCCAGGGGGGAGTATGCCCAAGACTATATTTAGGGTTGGTAGACAATGTTTCTGTAAGTGTATTGGTATATTCTGTAAGAATTCCCAAGACACAAGGTTGTAGTCACTTCTTGGCCACAGCCAGTTACCCAGAGGGAGCGAGTAGTTGGACCTGTGGGCTCAAGAGCATGGTCACAGGGGACATGAAGCTCAATTGGCATAACATACTACACAAAACATTGTTCCACATCCTACTTTGGCAAGCAGCGACTGGGATCTTAAAAGCTTGCAAGTGGCCATCTAGATGCAACAATTGGTCTCTCCTTGTCCAGAGCAAAGAAAAATGAAGGAAACCAAAGATTCATGGAAAGAATTAGTCTAAGCGACTGGTACACCATGCGATCCTCAGCCTATACGACTATGAAACCAGAAGAACTAGATGGTACCTGGCTACCATTGTCAACCACTCAGAGGGGGATCTATGTAGGAGATCCTGGATAGAGTGGGAGAACAATGTGGAACTAAACTCAAAATCATTAAAAAAAAAAAGGACCAGTTTGCTGTCAAATAGAGCCTGATGGAACCACTGAGACTATGGCCCCTAGCCGCTCTTCAGGTCTGGAATTGAACCTACTCCTGTGGCTTCCAGGCATATGAGGTGAACATTTACATTAGGTAGTCAAACTCCTTAAAGAGAACAATCATGGGAGAATAAAAGGTTTGTGTATGCACAGGGAGACAGCTTAGGGGGCAGGAGTACATGGAGGGAAGGATAACAGGGAAGAGGTAACTATGGGGAGGAAGTGGAAAGGGAGCTGTTGCATTATGGTAAATTGTAGTCAATGTCATGAGACAAAGTGTATGTGAGCTGCTATATGGAACATGAATTTGCTCTGTAAACTAACACCCAAATCACAATGAAAAGAAAAAGAAAAAAGAATGGGTTGCTGTGTTTGATTATGTTGTTGTTGTTGTTGTGTGCCGTCGAGTCGGACCCGACTCATAGCGACCCCTCCTTGGGTTTCCGAGGCAGTATCACTATGGAAGTAGATTGC